GTTCTCCGGCCCGGGTCCCCGGGAAGCGCCGACCCCCCGCGCCCCGGCGCGAAGCCCGGCCCGTTCCAGCGCTTTTCCGCAATACCGAAACGGGCCGAAATGCCGTTGTGCGTTCTCCGCGCCCGCAGGGGTGTGTGGGCACCTCCAGAGGTACCCGCAGCAGCAGCGGCGCTCCCCACCACCCCACCGACAGCACGGATCCAGAGACGAAATGAGGCGTGATGTGGATTTCTTCAACCAGCTTTGCCCCAAACTGTGGGCAGCAGCCTCCCACGCGGCGCTTAGAGATGTGTCTGTGACCCTCTTTTCCACTTCGAGCTTTTCTGATTTTAATATTTACTCACTGTTTTTTTCCACAGTTGGCTCACTGTTACTGTTTTAAACTTACTTTTGTAGCTCTTGTGGAAACCCGTGTATGGCAATTGCTTATCAAATTGGTGAGGACCAGGGGTTCGTGACCTTCAAATATAGCTGCTTTAATGATAATAATCACTGATTATACAAGCAAGACAGGGCTGTGATTGCACTTGCCTGGAACAATGACTTTTTTCCCTTCCTGACTAGGACGATGGCTTCCATCTCCGAGCGCACCTTCATCGCCATCAAGCCCGACGGGGTCCAGCGGGGGCTGGTGGGAGAGATCATCAAGCGGTTTGAACAGAAAGGATTCAAACTGGTGGCCATGAAACTAATACATGTAAGGTTTCCTTAATTCATATGCCTCTTTTTTTTTACATAAACTGCAGCCTTAAAATAGGGCGGCATGGTAGAACGACTAATGTAGTCTTCAGAACAACTAAATCTGAAATTTAGAGAAATCTTTGAATATTTTGGATATTTTTGGAAAAGTTCCAATTCCCGGCTCTGGTTAAATGCTTTAGACATGTTAAGCACGCTAATTTTAGTAACATGATGTCCTTAGTCTGAAGAGACTATTCTTTTAGGTGTATCTTGTACCTAGTAAGTGTCTCTGAATATCTTCAACAAATACTAGCTCACAGAAGCTGTCTATATTTGCAGAAGATTCTTTTCCAAGTTCAGCTGTGGTTAAAGCAAGCAGTTCAAATTCACAGCGACCAGAAGTACTTCTAGGAAGATGACAGAAGTGCTGAATTTTCAAGTGCATGCAAGTTGCAGGATTAATAGTGCTCCGTGGTTAAGCTGTGCAATTTCAGTATGCTCTTAAGTGCTTAGAGTAAGCTTTTTTTGTTTCGTTGCTTGGTTTTTAATGCAGGCCTCTGAAGACCTTCTGAGAGAACACTACATTGACTTAAAGGACCGGCCATTCTATGATGGTCTGGTGCAGTACATGCACTCTGGACCCGTTGTAGCTATGGTGAGTTCTTGAGAATGAAGCTCAGCTAAGAAAAATATAGTGTTTAGTGGTCTCACCTGCAATGAGATTGTGTTGCCTGTTGTTTTATAAGTTCACTTTTAAAAGGACTGAAAAACCTAGATTCCAATGTTCATGCTAACTCCTTTTTCTTTAATCTTTTTTCATAATTGTTCTTTCCTCTGAGTCTGTACATTGTGGGAGTGGGGGTTAAAGGGGGAGCCAAACCTGGGACCTTGAGACAGAGAAGTTGCATGAAAACACCCACTATGAAATATGGTGTATTTTATCAAGCTGAAAATATGATGGTGGAATATTTTTTACCATATTCCTAAGCTGTAGTAACTTTGAAAAGCTTACCTAACTTTATTAGAAGGGATTTTTCTCTTTTTTTCATTAAAAGTGTATTTGTAAAATAGTTGAGCTGGAGGGCTGGATTTTCGGTGAGCAGACAGCTTTATAAGGCTGTTTAACACAGTGAGATTCAAAATTGGCCTCTTCCCATCCTTGTTGAGGAGAGGTACTGTGTGGAAGGGGAGAACTCCAGCAGATGCTTCAAGAATCTGACAGAAAATTTGGAGGTAAAAGACGTCTTGCTATTACGAATATTTGGCTGGTGATTTGTGCCATGAGGGACAGTCTTGTATAATCCTGGAAAGTGTGACTAACTCTCACTACTTTATATACTGCTAAGATTTAATAATCTCAATGTTGTTTGGTTTTTTTTTTAAGGTGTGGGAAGGTCTTAACGTGGTTAAGACAGGAAGAGTGATGTTGGGGGAAACTAATCCATTCGATTCGAAGCCTGGCACCATTCGTGGTGATCTCTGCGTTCAAGTTGGAAGGTACATTTTGAAAGTAGTGATATCATCTAAGGACACTAAATGTCCAGTGCTATCTCATGATATGTGTAGGAACTGTTCTCCATCTTTCTCCACCTTACACACGGAGCTGCTGTTCCCTGTGCCCATGTAGTGTTAGAACCTAAAGATGGAAATTGAGTTGTGGTCTTCCCCATTGGCAAGAACAGTGAGCACAGCCAGGACTCTGCACTCTCTGCCTATTTCTACTTTGCAGTTACTCAAATTGTCTCTCCATAATGGAGACCACTTCAAAAAAAAAAAAAAAAAAAGCACTTGCTTTGCTTTGAATTTGAGGATTCTATTACTTTTATATCCCCCTTTTCTTTTCCTAGGAACATCATCCATGGAAGTGATTCTGTAGAAAGTGCTGAGACAGAGATCAATTTATGGTTCACTCCTGAAGAACTGGTTGATTACAGAAGCTGTGCTCATGAGTGGATCTATGACTAAAATGGAGCCTATACCTCCTGGTACCTTTCCTGTCTGTAGGCAGCTGCTAGCCTCTAGCTACTTTAGAGCCCTTCGTACAAACTGATAGGAGCCTGTTTCACAAATGGGTGAGGTTGCTCTGTTGTCAGTATTAAATGTAGTCAGTATTTGCTGCTACTTTGGTGAAAAAGCTGTGAAGTTATAGATGGAATTGTACCTCTAAAAAGCTGCTTCTGGGAGCGAGAGGTAGGATGTTAAAACACAGAGCATATGACACATAGTTTCCTGAAACACACTGTAGTCAAAGAGGATATTTTGTTAAACAGGAAAAAAAAAATGGCAAAAAAAAGTATTTGTTGAAAAACTATGCAAATGGCTCAGTGTCAAAGGTTAACTTTGTTAAAATGTGAGATAACAACTGGTGGTATGTAAGTATATAGATCGTGTGCCCAAATGTTGAGGATTGAATTTGAGATCTAGAGAATCCCCATGCCCAAAATGGCTGCAGAAAAAAAAAAAGCTGATTTATTTCTCTCTCCAGAACATGCTGTGCACAGCTTTGATTGAAATCGGAACTTCCCTCGAGATTGACACTGTTTCAACTTGCCTTCCCCCCGTCCCCCCGGATTTATTTTGCATTTTAAGGAAGGATTAATAGACTAGGCTTTCTGAAATGCCCTTTTATGTGAAAAGAAGATTAATGTGAGGATGGATGAGGGAGATCTACCTTCAGCCACTTTACTGTAGCAGTCGTCTGACATTGCACAGAGGAACAATGGAGTGATGTTTGCTCTACTGGCTGAACAGCTGATAATTTAGCTATGTCCTTATTTGTGTTCTTTCCTTATTAGCTGGAATTCCAAATCAAGCTGTTCTTGGATAAGGTATTTTAGAAGTGACTTTAGCATTATTTTAAAAATTTATTTAATGATGTAAAGAATACAGTATAAATACAGTTATAATAATGCTAAATTTTAGTATTTCAGCAGAGGTGTCTGCTTCTATCAGAGAAAACAGCCTCTTCAAGAAATTTTAACAACAAATATTCACTAGCTATACTGGGTGAGGAACAAGAAGTATTTGGGTCATTACTATGTATTTGCAGCACTGTATTCATTTAAAAGCAAGAGTTTCATGAACCTAGGTGTTCAAACTCCAGGATTTTTTTCTACAGTGAGTTCTTGTTTCAAATACTAAACTGTGCAACGAATGTTGAGTTCAGTGCTTATGATACTTTGTGAAGATAGCTAACTCTTCAAAAGAGACAGTACAAAGTAAAACAACTGGTTTTGCTGTTTCTTGAGTGAAATAAAAGGAAATTTTCATTATATTGTCTTAGATGTAATTAATGAATATAGCAAGAAGGAACAACTTCCTGAACTACTAGACTGTAGGTGAGTTTGTCAGCTTCTCTGTGGAAAATACTCGGTGTTAAGAGAAAATAAATAAAATTAGAGGTTGTTAAAGAATGGGAACATGTGACAGGCCTGTGCACAAGATGAGTCATCTCCTGTACCGTTTTTGCTTGAAGGATTACTTGAGGTATCTTTTTATTGATTTGCTTACTGCAAAACAGAGAAGTTTGGGTTACCTGGAGATGGGGGTGGTCGGAAAGCTACTGATTGGTACTTCTAAGGCGCTGAGACTGAGCGGAGGGGGAGGTCAGGCATCTCCCATAGAAAGAGCAGTGTTTCTGCTGCTGCTCGGGTTCAGCCAGGCTGGCGGTACCAGTCCTTAGGTACCGCACCGCGGGAATTTCTCTGAAAACAGCAAATCAGGTACCTAGTGTTAAAAGCCGTTTAGTGTAGCTATAAACGTCCTGAATCTTTCCACTGCGGAAGACGTTCAGGGCCGTCAGTGGCCCTGCGAGGCGGCTTGGGAGGAGGCGAAGGCGGCAGGCGCGGCGG